ATATAATACACAATAAATTTCCAATATTAAACGTAAAAATATATATTACAAAGAAAAAGGGAAAGGTTATGACACAACGCAGATTTCCTCCTCCACTTGACATTTAATTATGTACAGAGGTTATGTTCTTTTTTTTTTTTTCTTGTCCAAACAACTCGTTTAGTACAATGTCGCGTTGATTTAATCAAGAAAGCGATATTGCTGATATTCGATTATATCTACGGTGTTTCTTATCATAGGAATTACATGATCCTTTCACATCCTTTGGGAGAAAAAACAACTGAGAGATTCGATCTCACGAAAAAGAATTTGTTGGGACAAATTGAAAGAATTAAGACTTGGGTATTTTTGTGACTCTTCGATCGAACTCACCTCGTCAATTTAAATCTCAATATTTTTCATTGAAACTGAATCTTATTCCAGATAAAAATTTTCCACTTCTCAAAAATTTTTCTTTCGAATTACGATTATAATTTTCTTCAGAATACAAATATAATAAACATCTACAAAATATATACTTGATCGAAATAATCATTTCTTTATCTATTGATTACTCGAATTTTAACCTCAAAATTCGTTCGATTTATATAATCTCTATTAAGGGTTTTCATCTCCCAAAAGGATCGATGTCATGGACCGATATGCATAATTAAAAGGTTTACGTGATAAGTAGAGTCTCGTGTCAGAGTGGCGTCGATGAACGGCCGTGTCGAAGTCGCCTGACGATTGTGATCGACGATTGGCCCGATAACCAACTATCGTGGCGGTGATCAATCATCGTCTCGCGGCGCAGACAGCACGTGCAACCCGGAAAAGTGCCTAGACCCTTGTCGCGATTAGTTTAATCATCGTGGCGATTAATCGTCACCCCAAATAGAGTTTACCGATCCGAGTAACAGTTTACAACTTAATTTAAATCCAACTAAACGAAGAAATCATTAGTATTATTCGAATTATCACAATCTTATCTTTTTTCGAGTGAAATAATAATTGACGAACAATTGAGAAAAAGATTTATATTTGCATGATAGATCGAAGTAAGGATTAAAAAATAATAATAAGAAGAGTTGTTATCGATAAAGAAATATTTATATTGACAAGGAAATATTAAGCGCTATCTGGTAAAAATTAATCTAGGGATCACTATAAAACATCACTAAGTATATAATAATAAGTAAAAGTATATAAATATAAATAATAAGTAAAGTATATAATAATTTTTTTTTTTAAATTTATAGATCTATTTCACGTTCAACGAATTGGGGGAAGAAAATTTCAAGCAAATTTCTTTTCGATTAAACGAGATGAGAGCACGTAAAATGAAGCGAAACGGACGTATTGAGTTTCGAGAAACGGCGGGAACTACAATGGCGAGTCAGAGAAGCAATATCCTGACGAGATAACGAAACTATATAGGATATAGCACGGATGGTTTCAAAGGAAATTTCACTGATGAAGCTTCGCATATCGAAGTGACGTTTAATCGATACGACTCGAACAAATTAATGCTTCGATTTTGGAAGATAGGAAATCAATTAAATTACTGTTATCGTGAAGAGGATCAGAGTTTCATTACGTGGTATCAAACCAGATATAATTCATAAACCAAATTGCCATTTGAAATTGTTAGGATAACATGTTATTAGAATTTGTTCCATTTTATTATTATTAAATTTTTATTAATCTTTTTTATAGAATTATACTCTTTTGTATAATGATAATTAAACAAGACGTTAAACGAAATATTAAAGATATTTGAAAAATTAATATATTTTTAATTCAATAACTAATCATATAAATATTTTTATATATCGATAAATTGATATATAAATAATTAAGGGACAACAATTCTATCCAATCGTCGAAGGAATCTATTTCTTTGGAAAAATAAACACAAATAATTAAACAACAAGAATTTTATTCATTTCACGTAAAATAATTCACGTATCGCTTTGCTAAAATTAAATTTTAATTTTCAGGTGAAATCCAGTTATGGCGAAAAATAATGCGCGAAAAAAGTCCCTAGATAGAAAGTAATTTATTCGAAACATACTATTGTCCAGAGTTTATCTTTTCATCGAAATAACAGAACTCGAAGAACAAGAAAATATTTCCACGAACAGTTGAACTCGGATCGATAATTCTCCTCCTAACCTCGTTATCTTTTTTCTATGCTATCTTTTTTCGCCTTAAAAATTTTCATTTTTATCACGTGATTACAATTTAACGATTTCGATAATTAGCTAAATCTCGCGATCTCGTAACAATGAAAATCGATCGCGATTTAATCTAGTGGCAAACTCGTTTTTGGCGCGTATTTATTTACAAACGTATTTACAATCGTTCGGCTTGATATGAGAAGAGAAAGAGAAACAGAACGCAGGTGGATCAGTTTCCTCGATTCACAACTCGTGGTGTTTTGATCGTGATCCACCGAACGAAATCGACGAAAAGCTTGGAAATGAATTTTTTTGTAAATGTATCTCCTTCTAAATTTTTATACAAATTTGTATAAAATAACGTATTTCGCTCGATAAAAGAAATAACATACGGATAATGATATTTGGTTGAATATTTATCTTATATGATAAATAAATAAAAGATTATTTCATAAAATTTTAATTTCTTAAATTTTCGGTATTGCTTAATTTATTTACGGTTATTTATTGCAAGTTTTACAAAGAAAAATGTAAAATTTATTGAGAAATATTAAATGTATCGATTGCTTTCAAACTTTTCGTCGATTTTACATTATAATTATATACGTATGCGATCATATTTGGAACGGTTCCGTGTGTTTTTCGTAATTAATTCTTTTTGTATATTAGCAATTTTATTTACAAATCGACTTAATTCTTACGGCAGAAGACTTCGGATAAGCGGCTATAACGATATTTGTAGAAAGCTTGTTCGCGAGGTTCGATTCATCACTTTCATGCCGGAATTTCTCAGCGTATCCCAAATAAAATTCCATGTGTGTTCGATAAAATAAATAAATAAACACGGTCTCGAAAATCATCATAAAATTGACTCAAAGATGGAATACAGAAAATTTTCTTCGTAAAAAGTAAATAGAAATATTCATCGATCAAATAAAATTAGATTTAAGCTGTTTTGTCCGAAAAAATTTAACGACATATCTATTGGTTAAGTATATTATTTCATTCATTGTGTAATTCATCATCTTTCATATTCTAATGATAATTAAAATAAACGAATAGTATAAAAGGTAATTTTGGATAAATATTTACAAAGATAACATTTTCCGATCTCTATAATTTTTTACTTGTCAAGATCATCACTGATTGTAAATATTATTGTGAAAGTTTTATATATTGGTTTATTAAAAAAGTTGTTAACAAAAACAGTTTAAATTAGGTTAGATTAGATTTATTAAAAAGTTATTAATCCAAGCTAATCCAAACTCAGCTATGAAGAAATTAAACATATTTTTGTTTAACATCAAATTAATTTATGTTAATTTTAAAATCAAACTTTAAAATCAAATTAAAAACTCATTTAACTGTTAGCCAATTTAATTGAACTATTTTTAGTCTTAATCTGGCCATTAATTATCTATAATTATAAACTTGATCAAAACTAACCTAAACTATTTCGAAAAAAATATAATGACGACGATTGCAAATAAAATCTTTAACAACGTGACGTTGATAATATATTAAAAGATCAAAAGATCAAAGAATGATATCTTTTTATAAGTAATTTTCAAAAATAACTCGATTATTTTAAAATTTCCAAAATTAAATTTTATCCAACTTATCGATAACAGAAAGAAATGAAAGAATTCTCGAAAATTTTTTCGTTCCAACACATATATTCTTTCACAGTATTCTCTTCACTATTTTTGGAAACATCTCATTGTTTTTTCGTGAATTAAATCCGAAAAAATCAAAAACTTTCGCACGGCAAACGTCCAACAAACATATTTACGATTCCACGTTTTCGAAAACTGATTACTCCTCGCATTTTTCTTTAAAAAATGAAAATAAAATCGTGTCTAGCAAGAGATCTCCTAAATAATTCTCATTCCAGTTCTATTTTCTCTCGAGTATTCCCTCGCTGCAAGCTTCGAAGGAAAGGCGATTGCTTTTGCATATAATCGACTCAAATTTATTAGAATTTATCTCCACGTTCTTTCTTTCTGACTTTTTTATTTCGTTCGAGGTAAAGTTCAATTTACTGATGAAACACATAGTTTTTTCACTTTCCTTTTTTTTTTCACGTCGCTTGTCATCCACGTCACAATTTTCTTTTAACGCACTAAATAATTAAAACGTTCGTTAAAATATTCATGCTCACACACAGTTCGTTAACTTATACGTATTTACAAAGTTCGCACGTTTGTTAAACTTGTTTCAATGTCGTACGAAATAGAGGTTAAAACTTTTGTTTAATTCAAGAGAAAATTTTAAATTTAAAATGGAAAAGTTAGTTTGGGAAAGAAAAGAAAAAAAAATTTAATTATTTTCTTTCTTTTTATGAATTTTAAACAAAGAAAATTTCAATTTAATGTTGTTTATTTTAATTGAAAAAATAAATTATTAAATAGAATTATATTTTTTTCTGTTTTAATTAATACAAAGTCACGTTCGTATTAGATAACTTTTTGAAAAATCAGATCGATCAATAATTCGAGTTGAAGAATTTCAATTTAATTGGACACTAAGCGAATGAAGTGATTCGGTTATTCAATCAAAAATTGCCTGTGATATAAATGCAGCTCAACAAAATTGAAGAGTCTACTTGAAATTTGTATTTTTTATCTAATTTTTTATCGTTAAAAAATTAAACGAAAGAAAAGATAAATGTTCTTCATGGAATATTAATGCAATATCAGAATCAAATTTAATAAAAAGAAATGAAACATTCTATCACGATATTTTTAGATTAAAACTTATGAAGGAAATTATCTTTTTCAAAATAAAGAGCTAAGAAAAAGAAAAAGTTATAACGTGAAAATGAAAAAAATTAAATCCTAGAAAATTTTTCTCGTATCGATATCTCACTGCAATTACTTCCATCGAATTAAATCTCATTTCCACTTCAACTTTTAATCAACAAAATATATTTTTATAAAAACAGCAATAAAAGAAAATACGATCGAAACGAGATCGAAATGAAACACGAACACGTCAGCACGAAAATTCTCTAGCTTTACGCACTTACACTTTAAAACAAAATTTTCAATTTTCGTTCGAGTCATTCGATTTCAAATTTCTTTATATTTAAAAATAACTGAAGAGAAAAAGACTTTCACTGAGTTCACGATTCACAGAAATAACAATAATCCAATCTTTTATACGGTGACTTCTTCAGAGAATCTGCTTTTATCGTCTAGATTGATGACTATAGCATGCGTCCTCGCATGGCCGGATTTACTCTTGCTTTTGTCTCGTTCCCTAACCTCGCTTTTTTTCTCCTCGTGTTTCGTCTCCGTTCCGATATCCTCCGTGGCGGGCCTACCAGAAGTTGAGACAGCAACGTCGTTGGTTCTCATTGGTTTCTTCATCTCGACGGAAACGAGGGCCTCTCTTTCTTTGGACGAGCCTTGATCCACGCCTCTAATTCCATTCTTTTCCACGCAGGCCTCGCATTTCTTCTCCCCTTTCACTTCCCCACCTAGACATACGTTCGTTCATCCATACGTCATGTGTGTGATTCGCTTGAAGATTTTCGTTAATTGAAGGGAAAAACATCGAGTGACGCGATTGCTTCTTTGTGAAAGGAAAATTTGTGAAAATTTAATTGGTGCATAGAGAATTGATGAGTGATTTGAGTATATATTATAATATATATATTATAATATATGGTTCAGTGAGATTTTGAGGTTAGGTTCGATTCGTTCGGTTCATGATTTATATAATAATAATTTTTTTTGTCGTGAAAATTAAAATTACGTTTGTAATAAATTATTACCTTTTCTGTCGCCTTTCAAGGAACCCCCAACATCCGTTTCGGCGATTGTCGTAGATCCATTAAGATCGTTCAGTCTCATACTGGAGGAAATCGCCTGAATCGTGGATACCTGCGTTTCGGCTCGATTCGCGGCTTCCTGCATCGCTGCGAGTTTGTTCACCAAATGGTGATTACCGAGCAGAACATTCTTTTCTTTCAAAACTTCTAATTGATTGATGAATCGACGGAATTCTTCCTGAAACATTCCAGAAAAGAAAGAAAGAAAAAAAAAAAAGAAACGTGAGAATGGATCAAACGAGAGATAAGAGAAAATAAGAAATATCTTCTCGTTTTAATTATCGATCAATGTTCAAATCAAGAATTTTAGAATTTTACAATTCTATTGAATTTTTGTTTGGATGTTTTAGGAAGAGGAGACATTATTCCCAGTTTAGCTGCATCATTGGTAAATCTGATTTTCCGATGTCTATATCATAATTAACGCGGCATGGTGGGCTATTAATCGGCTTTTCACACAATGGATCTCGACGGTTCAACGCCTATTAATCGGTATTTGCCTGCATAGAATGCCGATATATGGGAGCCTTCCAGTACAGCTAAACGCGATTAATCTTAAATAAATTTTTACCTGCAGGTGATGACTTGTAGGAAATAAAATATATGATAATTTAAAATTTTGTCGAAAATTTTCTTTAAAAAAGCTCTCTTCATATTATACTCTTAAAAAACATTGTAAATCGAAAGATGAGTAGAGATATAAATAAACGAAATATCACAAAGGATCTATAATATATCCACGATGTGTGAATATTTGTTTAATATTTTATAAAAATAACAAAAGTGATTTTATTATTTTCGAATTATTTTTTCTTTATTATTTTATTATCAGTTTATTTATCATTTATATTTATAAAAAATACAAAAAAAATTTTATTTTATTCGTGTTTGCTCACCATAATTTGAAAAGCTTATATAGGAGATAGATATAAGGAGCGTGATGACTGTCTAAAGGCAGGGATTTAATATCGTGTATACTAAGGATTGAGAGGAGGAGCATCCGACCTGTAGAGTTCGATAACAGCATATTAGTCGGTCCTATGAAAGGGGAGGCGCAATTAATGGAAGATCAAGTGGTAGCTGGCTCAATAGGCCTTTACTCTGCTATATCTTTGGCCAGGAAGGAAAATAATAAAACATTCAATAAGGTATGCAAACAAATAAAGGTGTGATGTTTATCAGAAATCTTTTGCATTCCATTCTTTTTCAAGAATGAGAATATTTTCAATATAAAAATATAAAAATATTAAATAATATGAATAGTAATATATCTTCATAGTGAAACTGTCAATTGAAATATTCTTTGTATTATTTTAAAGAAAGAAATTAATAATTTCTTTTTCTTTTTTTTAAGTTGAGAAATAAAAATTCTTTTGTGTTGGAGAAAATTTTTTTTTGATTAATAAAAAATTGGAATAATAATTTTTCCAATTAACTATTGAAATTAAAAAATTCAAGAATATATATATATATATATTTTTATAATGATTACTAAAAAATTAATAAATAAGAAAAAATCTTTTATATGAGTTAGAAATATCATAAGAACAAAGGAGCGGAGAATTTTATTTCTAGAAGAGCTTTTATTTCAGAAAAGAGAAACCTTGCGGAAGATGACGAGCCAGAAAGTCTTTTTCAAGAGCACTTTTTCGTCTTCCATGGTTAAGTAAAAAAAGAAAAAGAAAAAAAAATTCCTTTCTCTCCACGGATCTTTGCAACCGAGAAACCTGATATCACGCCCGACGCTGTGATCCAAGCCGTGAAACGAGCTTCAGAAATTACATCCACCGGAGCCATCACTCCATCGAAACGATCGTGTCAAACAGCAGGTTATAATCAGTGCTCGAATGTCAAAGCGACCACCAACCGTGGCTTTCAAGTCGACGGAATTCACTTGACTTTTTGCCACGGTGTCTTGCCAATTTTTTCTCCCTCGCTCCCCACCAATGACATTTACTCGTCGAAAAGGCAGCCTTTTTCACGCGTCGCCTTTTTATGTAGGCCAGCAATAGCGGTCCAACAATTCGAGGTTAAGAAAGAGAAATGAGAAGAAAAAGAAAGAAAAATCTTTGAAATCAGCGATTTCTATTTCTATTTCCATGGTAATTGTTATTTATATATATAGGACGATGCTCTCGAGGAATTTTAAATTCAATATTCCTTACTCCTTACGGAGTGATATAGGTTATGTTCGAATTTAATATGAATTCTATCCTGGTTCGTAAATGGTGGTATACGTATTGAGTTGGGAATTTCTTTTTTTTTGGAGAGGGGAGATTGGGTTGAAATTGGATTCTTTTCATTGGTATTGGATTTTTCAAGATTTCGAGATTTTCATATTTTGAGTTTCGATGAATATTTATTCGGTCGTGTAAATTGTTCTAACTCATCGTCGTATTTAACATAGGCATGAGAAAATCCAAAAATTTCTAGGTATCTAATAATATTTTTAGGTTTAATCGTTTTTTAAGTTAACTTTCGAATTCATTTGCTTGAATGAATTATTTATTTTTTATTTTTAATAAGAATCTAAAAATTTCAAATATTCGATGGACACTCAAATTGAATTGTTTTCGAAAATATCTCATCATGCTTAAGTATTTAAGATTTTATAAGATTTCAAAACTTTGTTAAATAAATTGTTTGTAAAAAATAATTTGAATTTACGAAATTTTCGAAGTTTCGCATACTTTTAAACGTATATCACTTAGTACATTTAATCAAATGAAGAAATTTTTTTCTTCTATGGTAATTAATGCACATTCGTTCCAAATTTCGTTGCATTCAAAAAACAATTTGAGTTCTCGAAATCTTGGTACTCATAAAATACTTTCAAGGATTAGACCTAATAAAATTTACTAATTATAGTATTCAGTATTTACATCATATTCAAAATTCGATCTATAGTTTAATATAAGAAAAATATAAATCGTAAGATGATTTTTTATACATGAATTATCCGATTTTAAATATAATAATAATATTGTATATTGATCAATTCTTCACGAAATGACGATCAATAAAAAAAATTAATCTTCCAAGTTTTAGGAGTCGTAGAAGTTTTCGTTTAGTTTCACATAATTTCCAACGATGATATCAGCGTTATAAGACAAAACAACCTGCCCTGAATTCAGTCTTTTAATAAGCTTATAGAAGATATTAGGTTTACCAGTACAACTTTCATAGCCTTCTTAAATGTCTCTTGAAAACTTCGTTAGAAGAATCTGCTTGTTAAGCGGATTTCTTGAAAGGTTACCATTTATAAAACCCGTAAAATTAAAATAATTATTTTTAACAGCGATCTATGTGCCATTATTGATTTCGAGTTGTTCTAATTTTATAAACAGGAAATTGAAATCTATGAAAATTTATCGAAATATTTCGATCAGAATGGCAGATTCAGAGATTGGAGAATTTTACTTGATTATGAGCAGAATTAAAGGTTTACGAATCGTATAATAACGATTCAGATTGGAAATGTTAGGCTCCCATTATCAACTGTTTGACGAATATATAATATTAGGAAAATATTCGTTGTCAATACGTATTCTGACACGTTTCAACGTAAAATTAGAATGTATTGATCGATAATGTAATTTCGAATTCATTCGTCGTGCTCCTCTTGTCAATAATGTACTAACGTATCAAAATTTTATCCAGGATAAAATTTACTAAGTATCTAATAATTATGAGGTGAGTCAATATATAACAATATATTAAATGAAAATAAAATTTATTTATAACTTGGAAAATTATCATCAAAAAAGTTAAAACTGTTTCAACGTAATCTATTCTTTCGTTGCTTCATTCCAAAGTTTCATTCTCTTATCTGCTCTTGTATCATTATAGTTCATCCAGTCACGAAAATCCAACGAGAATTTATCTGGAACAGGAGCTAGAGAAAAGGCGAAAAAAAAAAAAAAGAGAAAAAGAGCAACCGATATCCAAAGATACATATATACGTACGTACATACACAGATCACGCGAACGTGCCATTAAAGACATATTTTGACGGTGGCTCGAATTCGCTATGGGAATTTAAATCGCATACTGCTGCCCTCTACCTGCTCCTCAATCGTTCACCGATTGTAAAGCAGCACACGTGTGTCCCTATTTCACAGTTCCATATTTCACATTCAATCGACTAGAATCTTGACTCACGAAAAGATAAAGCTTTTTTATATAGTAAGTAATATTTATATAGTTCCACAATTGTAACACACAGGATTAAAGCTAATTTAGATGGTTAATAGATAATATAATCAATATTAACCTAACCTTATTTTCCTCTATCATATCTATATTCATTTACTTAAATGAATATTTTCAGAATTTGATTAAATTTATTATATTCAATAATATTTTCTTTTATACTTTAAACTACTTTAGTTCTTTTTCATTTCAAATTCACAATGTGAATTTAAAAGAAGTACATTTCAAAGTAGAAAACTTCAGTCCGTTCGTGTTCAAATTGACCAATTGCGTGTTTCCAATGTATTCATCAGTGTGGCACACCTTCAGTCAGTGAAGGTACTAAAACGTATCTCCCAACAATATGAAAGATTGAAAAATTACTGTAATCAAGTTCCTTCTATTATTTATTATTTATTAAATTCTAATCACTTTGTTTCTAATAAACAAATTTAAATCGCTTATTTAATTAATAAATAAGTCTCGATCTAACATTTTTCTAACCTAACTTTCGTAATCACCTCGATCTCTAGAATCCATCTTCCAAATGTGTTCGATATAGTAACAACCCTTAATGTATTAAGAACACGAATAAGATCAGACCTCTGATTAATCAGAGAAGAAAAATTTGTTTCATTCGGAGTGATACTCGGACAAGGAAAGAAGATCTATTCTAAAAATGGATATAGATCTAATAGAACGGTGGATAAAGATGCTCTTACCGTCGCTCCATCACTTTCATCCGTGAAGTTTCCTTGCTGAAGGGATATCGAGTTTGTCTGATTGCTGGTACCCGGTGGGCGGCCACCTTTCCCTAGAAATTTTCCAGTGGCCCCGGAGTGTTTCGAGTCCTCTTTGCCCCCGCTACGGAACACCATGTAGGCCTGCGTCAAACAACCAGCAAACTTCGTTTATCTCGAAAAATCGTCCCAAGTTTCCGTCGATCGTATCGTCACCTCGAATATTTAATTTTAAAACTTTCTTTATACTGAAAGATTTCTTTAAGAGGAAATACATGAAATAATGAGATATTGATTAAATATTGTTGAGATATATTCTCTCTCTCTCTCTCTCTCTCTTTCATTCACCTTTCATTTAAGTTAAGATAAAAATCTTCAGAAATGGAAATTGACGAGAACTGTACAATAAACTATAGTTTAGATTGGATGTTACTAAATTGTACGAATTTAATATTGAATTTACGAGGGCTTACAACATTTCTCGATGCTGTACAACTCTATAATTTTCTCTCTAAAGCATTCATCCGTCGAATTAAGCGGTCAGGAATATTAGGTTAGGAAGAAGAGAATTACGAGGAACTGCTTTTGTCCTGTGTTAATATATTCGCCGTAGTTTACAATTGTTCCTAACAAGGAATGGTGCTTCAGTTCGATAATCAATTAATTACTTTATAAAACAATATATATATATATATACATATTATTGTATCTCTCTATAATTATTATTCTATAATTTATTATTATCAAGAAATAAACTTTTTTCTCTTTCTTAACAGTAACAACAAGAATATTTTTACTCTGCAATGCATAATACTATATTGTATACGCGTTGTGAAAT